GTTGTACACGTAGCTTGGTACTTTCCGAGAGCAGAGGTAGTTTTTATGTCATCAGTCCTTATCTCTTAAGATGAATCTGTAAGCGCTCGTTGTGTCGAGTCATAAAGGGTAGAGCGTGCAACTAATCTAAACGAACTTGTTTAATGTATAAACTTGTATTTTTTCACAGTAGCAAAATTGCGTCGAAAACCAATACCTGTTTTCTTCATAACTGAATATTTTCTATCAATGGAACGCCACTTGTACTCCGCTGTGGGTCTGGGAACGTATAATTAGGAAACGTCATTTTAAATTGGCAAAACTGCAAACACATTGACTAGTGCTACAAAATGTACAAATATTTGTATTTAAGGTGGGGAAGACGGAGAGGCATCTCGTGGTAATTAATCACACTCTTTCATGATACGAATGAAGTGTCAGGATTATAATTATTTGTTGAACTTGTTGCAACTCGAAAAACCAAGCGGTTATTGTCGACATAAAAACGAATGAAGTTCAAACATCTCAGCGAAAATTGCCGAAATAATTAGTTGGCATGTCGTTGCTCAAGTACATATTTTTAAAAGTCTCCCGTTTCGTTTTGTTTTTAACAATTCAAAACCCATTTGATTATTTGAATTAGTTCCTAATTAACAATTTTCCACAATTGCGATTTACTCAGCACAAAGGATGAAGAAAACCAACTTCAAAAATAATATCATCACATGTATATGTAATCATATCATAATACGAGTTATTCAGCTAAATCGTTTGGTGAAATCGATATAAAGATATTAAATTTTCCCCTTCACTAATCTGCGAAAGCTTAGCATTTAAATGCGCGCAGTTGTAAACATGCATAGGGTTAACATTCCTGTGTTACGGTATATCTGCATCAGTATGCATCACGGCCAACGTTTTGTATTTAGCAAGTTGTGTTTAGGGTGTGCACATATTATAAGGACTTGTGCATTCTGAATACATTTGCTCTTCTAATTCTACATATAGAGGTTTAAATTCAATACTCCCAGCAGTGATTTCCATTCTATAGCTTTAAATCTGTACAAAAGCCTGTATTTAAATCATATTGCATAATACCATGATTTCTATGGGAATCTTTTCAAAATCGTTTTGATTCACATCTTAATGCAATGGAGAAGTCCAATTGAGATTTGCTAAGTGAGTTATTGACTTATGAAAAGGCCTGTCGTTTTGATAAATGAACTTCACATGCCTTCACGAAGACTTCAAAAGAATTGTACTTTAATTGCCTTCCAGGAAGTTCACCGAGCTCTGCTTCATTTCCTCCCTGCTCCCGCTATCATCTCTAACACTCCTTTTAATCAACGTTATTAAGTGGCTTTAACATACAAGAGACCGAACCAACAAAATTACATCAAATCATCGCAAGTGCTTGAATGAAATGAAAATACGAAAACACATCACCAATGTAAGCGGTGTCGTTACGCGTAATGTTGAGTGATGATACTGGCAACACACTCGCTACATATAAATCATATCTGAACTATAATAACAAACGTGTTCAAAGAAAACGGGTTTTTGGGATAGAGAAAAAACAACCGATTTGATTTTCTCGATTTGACAGGAAGTACAGTGTACATATGCGAAAAAGCGTCAATGAACGATTTTTCTTTTTCTTTTTGGTGTTTTCTCGCGTCTTTTTGCTTTCCCATACGTGGAATGTGCATTTTGGTGTATGAATTGATTTTATGATGTAATTTTGTCTATTTTACACATTTCAGGTTCAAATATTAATGACTTGTTCATGATAACAAAAGTAAAAATGAAAATATATGAGCTTAGATCAAAATAAATCTGGTATACGAATTGACCTTCATGTATTACAGTGTAATCATGTCGCTGGAAGAATAAAGATTTTTATCATAGATGATAAAGTCAGAAACAAGACTTCGTGTACAATGCTAGCCATTTCTTTGAATGTCATACATGTAAAAGAAACTAATGTTCCCTTACTATTTATTCAATGGTAAAATGTATACACATTTTCTTGATTGAAATATGAGCTTTACGAAGAACTACCTTTCCCTATTTTTGGCATTGAAATGTTGGGAATATTAGCCCAGTATCAACGGTGTATAGTGATAGTGTGACCACATCCAAATCACTGTCCATTGATGTCGTTTCCGGACTGATTGGTATCCTTCAAAATTGCTCCGAATGTAAAGGAAACCAATCATTGGATTTACGTGTTGACCCTTACGAAAGCAATCTCTTTTATTACCCGTATCCTACATCGCGGGGAGGGGGATTTCTCCCAAGCAACAAGATAGAAATGTGCCTGTCCATGTCGCGTTCCCAACTGTGATTGTTATTGTAAGAAGAATATGTCAAACACCATGTAATTATCCCCTGATCAATGTAGTTGATATACAAATGGGACCCGTCTGCCCGTGCATCCGGTTAAGAAGCGTTGGTCTCGTCCCTGAATACCTTACTAAGACTGCTCCCCTTTCGGTACTTTCATGATTGATGCATCTGGGGTTGCTCTACTGATTGCAGGTTGATGAGGCTGAATTTGACCTACTTTTCACGATTCAGTGACTTTGTTAAGAAGAATATACATGTTAATAAGAGAAGGTCTCGTCCATAAATGCATTACTACAGCTAATACCCCCTTCGATATTTTTTTGATTGATGTCATTGGGGTGGCTCTTCTGATTGCATGTTGTGGATGCTGAATTTCACGCTTTGGTGACTCGGTGAACAGGAATTTTTATATTGATTTACACACTACACGTATTAGCTGGGGATATCGATAACGGCGTCTTCTTGTTTTCACTTATATACATTGCGGCGAATGGAAAACGGGTGTATAATTAAAAGGGGGTATAGTTATGGAGCATCAAAACAACGAGGAGAATAATTTAACATTAGGAGATTTCTTGAATTGGATAGACCATTAAGGTTTATTGTATGCATGGCTATTGTACTCTGTCAAACATCTATCATGGGATTTTCAGCGTCATTGCCATGAACACTTAATGAATAATGTTACATTAATTTAAGAGGCAATAAATCATTCCTCAAAAAAGAAATACTCAAAGAACAAAATCTTTCATTCATATTGTGTTCTTAACATTTTAATGTAAACCTATAGGTTAAATAAAGACCTCATATAACTTGCACTTTAACTGGAGAACCAAGAATCGTCCCGTTTCCCTTTTAAATTTCCGGAAAAGCAGCAAGTGTGACCTGTTGTCTGTTACTGAAAGAGTTTCTACCACAGTCGTAACGTTTTGGACAAGATTTTCGTCAAAACATTTTTATAATTTATCGTTGAATTCAAAACACTGTAGAATAGTTTCGGCTTTGCAAGTATCTATTAATGCTTTGACATTTATATTTTGTGCATGTAAATCATGACGTTTTAATAAGGAATTTAAGTATAGAAGACTATATAAACACTGACAAGAGGATCTTCGACGAGCTGAATTGCATGTGAATGCTTTAACACAACAACCAGAAAAAAAAGGTCAGAGGAAAAGGTTACGTGTTTGAGATTCTTTTTATCACTATCTTAACAAAAAATCAATGCATGACTAACGTATTTTTAGCAATGAGTTTGGACATATTCCTTGCTTCACGTTACATGGTACATGTCAATTAAGCGTCACGATGTTATTACTTAAACGAAGTGTTGAAGCCTGTTTATAGGAGTAACAAGATGCATCTTTTCACCGTATGAAAGAGTAAGACAGGAAACTTACAGTGGACATACATGTATGTCTTTTACGTACGACGTTTTAATTTCCCGCTTTTTATGACATCTGCTTTACAAAAACTATGTACAATAAAAGTTTAACTTTACACGAATATTATTTCAGTTTAATATTACTGTAGCATGTAATTTTCACTTTAGCAGTACACATCATATTATTTATAAACGGCTGTACTTAAGAATATCGGTTAGATGTGCAGTGCCTTTTACGTCAGTGCCTGTTTCAATATCTTTCCAAAGTGAACATTACATTTGGTTGGAGTGTTACTCTAAATGGTTAATGCATATGTACTACTAGCAAAGCTTGGAGTACATCTACCTAGTCTAAGGAATCTACTTACTTTCTGTCACAGGAAAACCCTCTTTTATCTTGATCTTAACCATTTCAACAAAGCCCTTTTGCAGTAACGGTTGGGCATCACTATAATAATGCATGTCGTCTAGTTCCTTCAGGCTGCGGTTCCGTTGCGTGGGATACAGAACATTTCACATGTAGATTGCCTCCAAGACATCACCACCATTTATGGGTAACGCTGATATACATTCCAGTTAGACAGACGCAATCAAGCAATAATGTTCGGTGATTTTTGCGTCCTTGCTTAATACTTTTAATTTAAGACAGAAGCAGATTCTAAAGTCAAAGTATTTTACATATACAGGGTAGATAATTGATGAAACGGTAAGTAGTGTATTGCTACAGTCTAATAGGTGCCATAGTCACAAACGTAAATGTTCGAGAAGAAAATGGAACATTATCTTAGTCGATTAACAGGAAGTGTCGTATGGATTTATCTAGTGAGTAAGGGATTCGTTTTCAGTACATGTGTACTTACAATTCCACTTCCAATTTACTTTGAAATCTTGTGGGGAATCGGGGGCGCCATTTCTTAGCACTTTGCTTACGGTCGTACCACACAAAGTGCATTGCACGACATACCCTGTTATAAATTTTAATGAACTAGGTCATGTCATAAAAAACCTTGTAGTCGGTTGCCCCTATCTCCTACAATGCCACAAAATTGCCTCAAAGAGTAGATTTTGTTATGACACCAGATTGACGTATTACATATGGATTGACAATGTTATTTCAGAAAGATTATGTATACTAATCAAGATAAGGATAAAAATGAAAGTGAGGATTTGTGAGTGACACAGTGAAACTGGAAGTAATAAAACAGCGTGCGCAAAGTCATAGAAAGCGGAAGTTTGTGCCAGTGATTAGGAAATGAGAGTGAAAATAGAGAATGTTTGCTGTTCAAACCTCGCACTTTCGGCGTGTGGGACGCTTGTCGCCACGATCTTTTATGGTGTCCTGTTTTCAAATGAGAAAAAAAAAATGAAATCAGATATATTAATATTTCAGCACACAATTTCGATGACGAAATATGATTAAACATGATATTGAAGTTCATTAATGATTTTACGAGTTGTCATTTCATCACATAATTGATTTTCCATCAAATATGGTAATGGATGTCGATGACAGATAAGTCACATTGTTTCTGGTTGTTTGTCTTGAAAGAGAGATTAGCTGACTTTCAAACGTGATGAGAACTGAAACTGTGACAGTTCGATGTCGACTTTTTCATTGCATAACTGCACGTCACCGTTTTATGGTTTGGAGGCAATACAATCAATCGGTTAATTAAAGCTGATATTTTGGATTTTATACTATTGTTTTATGTCATTCCTATACAATTGTTTTATTACAATGTACATGAATACCATCGTGTCACAATTCAATATATTGTTTTACCGTACACGATCTTGACCCCTCGTACTGCATTGCCAAAGTAAGACTCTGATTCCAGTTAACTCACATGCGCAAGAAAACGGTTATCCCTTTCGCCATCTTTGTTATGCGTCAAGAAGACAAGCTTAAGATTAGATTGATTTAATGTGTAACTAAGGTGAAGAGAATGTACGACGATAGCGATAACTGGCCCGACAATGGCAATGTTATACCTGTCCCGGATGATATTTCACGCCAATTACTCAGTCTCGATTAAAAGACAATTGCTGTCTTCCATCACCAGAACACATCTTTCTGTACTTGATAATTATTATGCTTAGTCACTATTAATATTCAAATATTCAAGCGAATTTTTCAGTCCGGAAGATTCAAATCATATGTGCGTTCGCGCCCAAATTGGATTTTGAAAAGGATTTTACTAACTTGCATCAAAATACAACGTCACACAAAAGCAAAAACGCCAGGTAAATTAGTTCATCTATAACTATAAAAACAGTTGCATCAGAATAATTAGAACGGTTCATATTTTTTTCGCTGGTGATCACAGTTTAATCTGTGTTTCCCCAGCGACTTATGATAGATAACTTTTTGGAAAGCAAATGCTTGTTTTTGTTCTAGGGTTGAATGCATAAAACTACCATTCGCGGTAATTCATATCCCCGAAGGCATAATGAATTTCAAAATCTCCCTTACACCTCGTCGATACATCTACATTGTATTACACACTGTAAAAATATACATACATACCATCAAGTATTTGTAAATGTATAGTAGATGGTCCATGCTGATTTCTGTTGAATACTTCACAGTTGTGTATATTTGATGGGATATGGGCATTATTATAAATATTTGAACAGAGCTAAAATTGAACACTGGCACCAATTCCCTATTGAGTCTTATATCAGTTCTGTACTATTCAACCAACTTACCTGTATCAATTAACTATCGATCAAGGCTGAAATCTGATGTTACTTACTATGCAAACTTAAACTTATATATGACTCATTGTCAAGTCATATATTTATCTTATCCAACTGGACCAAAAAAATCACCTATCACTTATATTTATATCATTCTTACATGCAGCATAACTTGTCCAGAAACCTTCATACCTATTTCGTTTTTCTACAGTTACATGTACATTGATACATCTCAACGTGTAACATGCTGTATGCTGTTTAACAACATTTTCAAAAACAAACAACAACCCTATCGAACTTTGGTCACCAATGACTTCCCGTGCCTCACTTTAAATCACTAACACATACTATAACCTGTAACATCAAGTGCGTTTCGTGTAACGCTACACATTGTTGAGTGCAGGAGCACGTGTATTACTGGTGTATCTAGTTTCTTCTCTAATAGGTATTGCACGTGTGCTGTAATACTGTATCTAAGAGTGTATTGGGCTAAGCTATTGCCCAGCTCACACCGTAAACAGATCTGGTCGAAGTAGCGGTAGTTGTTTTATTATTGCTTTGATTTAAATGGCGACTGTAAATTATAGACAGCCGAGCCGTGTTTTAGCAGATTAAAATGAAAGTTAACATATCGACCGAAAAGATAATACACAAGTTTAAAATCTGAAATAAAAACAAAAAACAGCAACAATCTGCGGATAGCAAAGGTTTCTACACAAGGTCTTATTCTCATTTTGAATAGGTTGTCTCGAATACTTTAGGTCTTTTCATAACTACATGCATGTGTTAAAGGAATCACGTTTAAATCCTTATTATCAGTGTATACCATTGTCTATAGTCGTTGTCATGTGATTGACGTAAGTTAACTTTTTGTATAATGTGATGTACAATATGAAGTAACCTGTTTATTCTAAAGCTCTTAAGCGCTTTAGAGTAATTTTACAAATTATATAGGGCGCTATGTAACTGTTGTGAATACATACATATTATATATATTTATTATACCTGATATTTCTTACATGCAGGTAGTTCCAACCTATTGGAAAATCAAAAACATTTAAAATTCAACAGTTCAATATCTAAGTCAACATTTGTAACTGACAGTTTATTTTGTTTAAGCTTCATTTTTTACGGCCCATCGACTCTTTTTGGGAAAAGACAACATTATAAACAGTTAACAAAGTAAATCGTAAAATCAATTTCATTCGAAGTTGATGATAACGTACTGTAAATTTAAACCTGTTTCAAGCGTCCTAATGAACACTGATCACTTCAAATACGAAGTAAAATACGCATTTATTGAAATAAAACCCAGTTTGTCGATGCAGATAGCCAAAGAAAGAAAGTATTTCCTTTACTTTATGGCATTTCATCCATTTACATTTAGATCGCGTCAGTAGACCTATGGGTACAAAACATAAACATTTATGTGTAAGGTGTCCTGAAACATATGCTATAAAAATAAAACATTAGGGAAGTTAACACAATGGCAAAAAAATGCAAGTACAATATACACACCTCTACTAAGATGACACTAGACTGATGTAACTAAAGTTACTGTATGACGCGTAGAGAGTTTCTCTTTTAGAATCTATAATTTTGGTCAGCATAATCAAGCGAAGTTACATAGTAATCACCGTTGTTCGGATATTAAGAAAAGTAACCTGTATAAAAACATTTCATGAAAGAAGAGCAAAAATGTATATCCTGAATATGTTACAATGTGCTGACCCAAAGTTAATTAACCCTATGTATTGAAAAATGACACGTATGGTATATGTAGTACCGCATTTATATACTCTTTATATCAGACGCAACCTTGTGAATTATTAATAACCGCCGTAATGTCCCTGCCTCTGTTCAACATTGGTATTTAGAACTTCATTACAACATCCCAGGGGACCATGAATAGCTATCAAGTCCAATGCTTCTTTACGATACATACTCCATGACGTCATGGGGAGAGGCTCTCCTCTGTCTTTATATATGATGTCGTTTTGCATATTGAAAAACTCATAAATAGTTTAATGTTTCGAAAATCTATGATCCAACACAAAGTATACACACACCACGTGGCGATGGCAGCCTGATTCCCTCCTATCGCACCGGTGATAACACTGTCTCCCCCATTTGTATTTTGGCATGAAGTCTAACAGAAGTGCTTAAACTACAATTATACTACGTCATATCACAAAGCATCGAGGCGGGAACATTATTGTATACATTATAACCTATACGAACTAGGAAACCTTTAGCGTATATTTTAGTGTCTAGACTTAGGATACATTAATTTGCATGAATTATGTACATGGGAACATTGTCGATTTTCTTTGAAATGTGCATTAGCGAAATATCAGGAATTAACATACGTTTGCAGGTCGCCGTTAATGACTTCGTTTCAGTTTAAGCATCCCAATCTTCCTGAAACCGTTTCTACTGATACCGCAACTACATGTACTTTGTACCTATGTCTTAAATAAAATGGTCAGCCTTTTTGTTGTAGTAGTCTTTTTTTTTTTTTTTTTAAAGGAAAAACGTCTTATAAAGATCACGTGTAATGATTTTCCAATAACCATTTTGTTTTATGTGTATTTTATCTTTATTTTTTTCCCGTTTTTTAAAATAACGTATAAGAAATGTAATACATTTATGCGATCAGCAGCGATGTGTTGCCATGAGGGCAGATTCTATTAATCTTCAGTGTCCTTTTTTCAGAAGACAATGCAGAACCCCAAACCTCCCAACCCCGACGATGTTGATATGAGAGAAGGTATCATATAAGGGTCCTAGTCATTTCAATATTAGACACAGAAAAAACACATTAGTCGTCTTACCGCCTCGTATTGTAATTCGGGTGTTCATTCCCTGAACCTGCAGAGATGCCTTTATGCAGAAATATTTCATGTACTTTTTTTTGTGCAAACTAATTTTATTATTCTATCAAAATTTGCAACGACTAATAGTGTCTCGTGCTGCCGGACATTTAAATAATTTCTTGTCTTTAATGTGTGTTTTATCCAATCACAAATATGTTAAACTTTTTTGAAATATTACTTATATTTTCATGTTAAACACATGTAACTGCTAGGAAGTATAAGATTTACACGATTAGAAAGACAACGTCATTGGTTACTTACGTAAACTTTATGATCTGAATTTACAGGTGTACACATTTAGTGTTAAAAGGTTTATTTTCCAGATAACCAATCATGCAAAGGCGTAAATTTTAATGATACATCTCCCCGGTATCACATAGCAGAATTTAACGAACAGCATAGTCAATAGTACGTTACGGTTAATATAATTCAAAGAATAACAGTATTGATTTGTAATCCTTTGAAGTACTTGAAAATATACTAAGTTAATGTATTCATAATGTGACATGCCTGTCTGAACACAACGTAGTATGTTCACGCTACACATACACATGTGAAAGTCTCAAAAGACAACCAATTGTGTTTTTAGAGCTTGAATTTATTAAATATGTTTCAATTTCCGTTGAGAGAACATCAGAGGTATTAATCGTTTGAGAGGTTTATAACGGAATTATAGTTACGATCAACGTGACACCACCTGTCAGGGTAATACAAATCAAAGTGTTTTAACAACGTAAAATGTATAAACATATAGCCCTCACTT